TTACGTCAATTTTAATCTTAAAGAAGATTTAAAATGACCATTCAGTCGTCCCCAAATTGTATGCTTCTTTATTTTCGACATTGCCATTTGTTTTCGCTCGTTGTTCTCTGCCAATGGTGTTCCCTTTCGTTTTCCCATTGGCTTTTATTTAGAAGACAATTCTTTACAGGAAATCAAAAATGATATTTCAATACGGGAGTTTTGAAAGGAAGACTGGCTTGATTCCATTCAAGCAGTGTTGTTATACTCTAAATAAAATATAATCGTGAAAGCATAATAATTAGTTAGACTCGGGGCTTTAAAAAGTAGACAGAAATGTTACCCAGGTATGGGAACATTACTTTCTTTTTCTTTCTTTTTTTGTTTTTGTTTTTGTTTTTGTTTTGTTTTTTAAATTCTATTACACCTTTCTCGGTAACTCTTCTTCGGGTTTTGTGTGGAATTCCCACATTCATCATCATCATCATTACATTTCTCACCCTGAATCAGGATACAGGCCACCAACAAACACTTTCCAACTTTCCCTATCCAGGGCTAGTCACTAGATGTCACTCCATGTCTTCCCACTTTTCTGTACACCAATTTCCGTGACTCTTCTCCAGGTTCAACGCCGTCTTCCCTTTATCTTTTACCCTATGGGTTCCAATCTATCACTTTCCTTGTTATGCAGCTGCTTGACTTCCTGAGAGAGCGTCCAATCCATCTCCAACGTCTTCTTCCCACCTCATCTCTGATTGGGCTCAGTTTCGTTCTTTTTCATACTTCCTCGTTGGTGACCCTGTCTGTCCAGCTGATCCTCGGTAACTTACTTAGATACATTTTCAAGAAAACCTACTTCCCATCTTTCTGAAGACGAAAGAATACACACTAAATCTTTTCGTCCTGCCCCCCCCCCTCCCCCCTGTCCATTTCCAAACAAATCATCGTGAAAATGTATTTATTTATTTATTTATTTATTTATTTATTTATCTATTCATTGCAAACAGCGGTTGTCCCTGTCCCACTCCATGTCCCGAGTTGGCCGCCTGTACCCAGTGGAGAGAAGTGTGCGGCCCGTCAGATGAACTCACGGCGCCCTATAGGGTCAACACACAGGGGAAAACACAACACACGGCGTCTATAGGATCAACACAAAGCCACACAGAACAGGCTTATCTGTGTGCTGTTCTGTGTGGCTTTATGTCAACACATTGGGGGTAAACACACGGCGCCCTACAGGGTCAACACACTGGGGGAAAACACAACACACGGCGCCCTATAGGGTCAACACACTGGGGGAAAACACAACATACGGCGCCCTATAGGGTCAACATAGCGGAGTAAACACAACACACGGCGCCCTATAGGGTCAACACACAGGGGGAAAACACAACACACGGCGCCCTATAGGGTCAACACACAGGGGGAAAACACAACACACGTCGCCCTATAGGAGGGTCAACACACAGGGGGAAACCACAACACACGTCGCCCTATAAGGTCAACACACCGGGGTAAACACACGGTGCCTTATAAAGGTCAACATATCGGGGTAAACACAACACACGGTGTCCTGTAGGGTCAACACACTGGAGTAAATACAACACACGGCGCCCTACAGGGTCAGCACATCGGGTCAAATTCAAATCAAAGCAACGAAACAATTCCGTCTCTCGACCTCTTTTAATGTAAAAATTGCTTTCAAATACATTACATGTATATTATTTTAGATTCACGTGCGTATTTTCATACTCAGACTCTGAAATTTGAATACGTGTATCGATATTGCAAACCGGAAGTTATTCAATGGTAAATTACGATAGCTACTCCGTGGTGTGAGCCAAGTGGCGCCTGGAAAAGGAGGGTGGGGTGTGATGGGGTTGGAGTATGGGAGATTTATTGTGTAACGGTAGCTACTCCATGGTGGTCCACAAAGGACGACGGCTGTAGAGGCAACCATGACCAAGAGCACACCCACAGCACGTCTTTGATCGCCCCCCCCCCTCCCCTCAGAATATTAACTGGAGTCCTATGTATACAATTATGTATATGAATCACCATAAATATCCATGAGTAATTATTATTTTAGACAATTCTCGGGAATCAGAAAAAAATATTTGATACTCCGTTTTATAATAATATGCTACGTTTTATATTGTTCTAGATAAATAAAAATGTATTGTTCTCACCGAAATTTTTAAAAATGGAATTTGGAAGATGTGTTTGCTTTGTTTGTGTAAATTATTGTTGGAAAAGCACAAGTTATTTCCAACGCTTCACGACTTCGCTTAATTCTTTTTTGTATTGCTTTTTGGAGGGGGTCGTTGTTGGGTTGTTTGTTATTAACCTTTTGTTTGTTTCATTTTGGGTGGTGGCTTTGTTTCGTTATGTTGCTGCTGATACTGTTGTTGTTGTTGCTGTTGTTGTTGTTGTTGTTGTTGTTGTTGTTGTTGTTGTTTTGAGTGGGAAGTATACTTTTTTAAATGTCTGATCCTTGTGAGGAGACACAGAGTGAGTGAGAGAGAGAGGGGGGGAGTGTGAGAGAAAGAAGCAGAGATACAGAGACAGACAGGCACGGGGAGAGGGGGGAGGGAGAAGAGGGCTGAGCAGACGGCCAAGCAAATACATCAGCCTGAGGAGAGCTTTGCTCTTCGCTATTGTGACTGTGAGCACAAGTCTTGAGCTCGATTCCCGCCTGGGAAAGTCGTTTTATAGAACATCTCCGCCGGACTGATGGAACACTAATCCTAGACCGGTTTTTTTTTTTGGGGGGGGGTGGTAAATGTTTTACGGCGCTCGCAACTGCATATTAATAATAAGGTTGTATGAGAGTGAGGACACATTAAAGATTTTCAATTTGGTAGGAATTAATTTTGAATTTTGCTCAGGTTGCGGCCGAAGCCTGCTACCCTAATCGAGTTTAGGACCACCAAGGGATCTTTAACGTGCATAACATGCACACGGAGCCTCCAAGATTTTTTCACCCTTATCCGAGAAGGCGAGGTGTGTTACCTACCCTGAGACCAGGGTGTGTCTGAAAGACGGTAGTAGAAGGAGCCAAGGAGTAGCAACAGAAAGACTCAAAGAGTTATGAGCCCTGAAGAGGGGGCAAAAAGTAGAGGAGGGGGAGGTAGAAAATGGAGACGAAAGCAGAAAACAGAACATGATTTGAGAGCAGAAATGATGAAAGGAGAAAATCTTTTTTAGAGAAGAAAGATTTCCGCCGCTGTTAGGTTTCGAACCTGGGACCTATTGGATAAGAGTAGAACACCGTACTAGACCACGAGCTCCCCCAATCCCAGACATGTGGGATAGAAGCCGCTCACCTCAGAGATGGTGTACGTTGTTTAAAAAATGGAAGGAAGGACGGGTTGGGTGGGATAAATATTTAATTTTTGTAAGAGAAAGAAAAGAAAAGATTGTTTGAGCTTTAAAATTATTTGTGTGCGTTTTGTTTTTGCATTTTTGGTTGCTGTTTGTGTGTGTGTGTGTGTGTGTGTGTGTGTGTGTGTGTGTGTG